AGAGAATATATACGAAGAGGAGTATTAAAATTCGGATTATATAACTCTTAGCGTCTTAATAATTATATAATATAATCACGTAATATACCTTAGCGTATTTATATCTAGTCGCTCTTTTCTTTATAGTAACTCTATAGAAAATAACTAAGTATCTTATCTTATATTTTCATATAAAATATCTCTTAAAGTTATTATAACGATTATACCTTATCGCAGTTATTATAACTTTCACTTCCGCCGTAGTGGTAAGTAGATAGCTAATGTAGGCTGTTAGAATATAATATCAGATATGTGATAATGTAGAATAGACGGATTAATTCTTCAAAACCTCTCCGAGGCCAGATCCTAAATATAGTACAAAATCAGGTGGCGGGAAAACATGGTGGCTGGGATGCGCGGAGGCCAAAAACATGATGGCTGAGATGCGCGGGGGCCACATTTCCAGGCGTCTGTCAGGGCGCGTTTGGGCTTCTTTCTGGCCATGACGCCTGTAGGATCAGGCTTGGCAAGAGATGGTGTGTTATATGTATAGAAGGCTACTCTAGAACGTGTAATAGAATACGCAATAAGTAGCTTATGGAGTTGAATAGCAGGTCCGGAGTTACTATTCAAAAGTCGTTTTTTTTCTACTTATTATAGGGCTGAAATAGGGCTATAGGGGTAAATAAGTAACTTATTTCATAAGTAGAAGTAACTTTAATAGCCTCTATTATAAAATAAAATACTCTTTTTACTCGATCGATATAATTATAATAATAATAAAGTATTAATAATAAATAAACTCTCTTCTCTATTAACTTTAAAACTTTAATTATCTATATTACTTACTCTCTTATCTACTATACTTAAACGATAAAGCTCTTCTCTATTTACTTATAATAGTAAAATTAATTTAAATATCTCTTTATTAAATAAGATTAAATTTATTAATATTATTAAGATTAATATAGCGATTTATTATTAACTAGCTTATAAAAAAGATAATAAACTATTTATATTAATAATAAATAAGATCTATAATATATCGTCTATATTATATATATTTTTTACTACTCGAATATCTTATAAATCTTATATATCGATTAATAAACTCTATTTCTATAACTTAAAAAAGAAATATAAAAGATATTATAATTCTAATTATCTTATTTAGATTAATAGCGTTAATATAATTAATTCTAAAAAAATAAAATATAAATTATCTTCGAAATATTACGATTATTTAGATATTTTAAATAAAACTAAAATATATATATTTTTTCTATATCGTTTCTATAATTATAAATTAAAATTTAATAATAGCTTTAATAAAATAAAACTTTTAAAAAATAAGATCTATTTAATATTAGAATATAAATTAATTTTTTTTTAATAAATATCTAAAGAAGAAATTTATAATATTAAGTTATATATTATTTATCTTATTTATTCTATTCATAGAAAAGCTAAATAGAAAATTATATTCTATTATAAATTATTAAAAAATTAATAGTATAATAGAATATAATTTTTCGCTATTATTAAAAGAAACTAATATTAAATTTTATTAATAGATAAGATTTTAATAAGAATCTAGAGATATAAATATCTTACTCGATTAAATATTATAGTCGCGTTTAATAAACTACGTATATACTCTAATAATAATAAATTTTACTATTTTTATTATCTCTCTTAAAGTATATAAATATTAAATCTTCCCCTTCGAGTTAATTAACGACTCGATTATATATTAATAATATATAAATAATATTCTATTTAAGTATCTAAATGATTTCTATTAAATCTATCTTAATAATTTAATTATTTATAATAAGATAAAAAAGAAATATATTTAACAGGTTAGATAAATTCTTTAAAAATTAAAAATTATTAATCTTTAGATAAATATTCTTAAATGCGAATTTTATATATAAAAAATCAAATTTTTAGATTTACTAGTATCTATAGACGGGTTATAAATAGATCTTATTAAAATCTAAACTATCGTTATATAGATTATATCTATTAACCTTAAAAAGATATATATCTTTATCGATTTTATAATTTTTATTAATAATTTATTAGAGACTTCTTTAAAATAGTTAAATTTATAATAAAATTTATAGCGAAGAAAGCTATATTTAATTAGTCTCTAATATATTAAAAGATCTTTTACTTTTTAAAAATCGCTATTACTAAAGCTTTAGTTTTATATTATTTTAATAAAATAAAGAAAATCGTTTTAAAGACTAACTCTTTTAACTATATTAATAAAAAGATTCTTTTCTAATATAATAATAAGAGAGTATTTTACTTAATAGTCTTCTATAATAAAAACTTATCTTAATTAAATATAATTATTAAATCTATAATAAGAAATTATTAATAAGTACTCGCTATCTAGAATATTAATACTTCGAGCTAGAATATATAAATATTCTTATTAAAATCTTTATCGATTATAAAAAATTAATATATTTTACTAAGAAAAGAAATCTTAATTAATATTAAATTCGATATTTAGATATATTATTAAAATTTAATATAAAGATTATTTATTAATCTAAATCTTAGAATATTAAGATAAATATATTTATGTAAATAGCTAGATATAAATTAACTAATTTTAAAAATAAATAATTATATTAATAAGATTAAATAATTTTTACTCTTAATTATTTAAATAGAATAATAAATATATCGATATATATATAATTAATAACTCTATCTACTATAAGATAATAGAGATTAATAAAAAGAATAACTATTATATAGAAATTCGTAACGCTATCGCTGAAGATAAGAATAAGTTTTAAGAAATTACTCTTATAAGTATTTTATATAGAATAAAATACTTTATTATAAAAATCGTTTATAGATATTTAATAATATATATATCGATATTATCTAAGAGATATATAATTAATTATTCTATAACTATCTCGAGATAGTATATATCTATAAATTACTTAAAAGAGAATATTATTAGCGAGAAATAAGAATAATAATAACTATCTATATTTAAAATTACTATATCTATTAAAGAGTTAAGATACTTTGTAATCGGGAATATAATTTACTTTAGCCTCTATTAATTCTATAAAAACGATAATAAGATATATTAATTAACTTCGTTATAGACTTACTTATATTTAATAATAATAATACTATTTAAATAGTAATTAATTAATTTACTAAGAAATATTATTATATAATTTATTTCGATATTAATAATAATACTATTACTAAAAAAATAATTAATTTATTATTTAAAAAAAAAATTTATCTATACGATTTATCGATCTTAATAATATTAAATTAAGATTCTTAATTTATAGCTATTATATAGAAATCTTTTTATAAATAATTAGATATTATAGTTAAGCTATTAATAATCTTTTATTCTAAAATTAATAAATAGACTAAGCGAGTAATTTAGAATATAAAGTATTAACTTCGAATCTATTATAATTATATATAAAACGACTAAATAGAATAACTATTTATTATTAAATTCGCTAATAATAATATTATCTTAGCGATTATTAATATCTTATCTTTTCTTATAAATAAGAAATTTTATTATTAAATAAGCTTTAGCTTAAATATTATTAATTATAAGATTATTTATAAATATTTTAATATCGCTTAGATAAAAGATATTATAAATTATATAAAATAAATTTTTAAGTATATTAGAAGTAATATAAATCGCGCTTAAAAGACTATAATTATATAAGTTAATAAGTATTAATAAAAGATTATCTTTTAAATAAGCGATAAGATCTTTCTAAATAGTAAGAATATTATCTTTAATTATCTTTCTCGTAAATTAAATTATAAGAGACTTAATCTATTTAAAATTATAAATTTTATAAAAATCTTATATTATCTAGAACTTCTATTAAGTATAAGAATTTATAATATCTTTTATCTTAATCTATTAAGTTTCGCTATAAATAACCTCTTATTAGAATAGATAAATCTATTATTAAAATATATAACTATAAATAGTTAAATGGAATAAATTATTAAAGAAATATTTATATCTAAATTAATTAATAGTCGTCTTAAGTATAAAGTTAAGTGAAAGGATTTTAATAATAATCTCGTTTAATATAATGCGAATAACGATAAATTCGAAAATTACTAAGATCTAATAGACGACTTTTATAAGTAATATTTTAAAGAGTCTTATCTATAGATCGAAACTATCGTTTTTAATTAAATTAAAATTATTCGATATCTTCGCAATGGCCTTATTTTTTCAGAAGCCGAGAATCGATCTCTTAGATTTATATCGATTAAAAATCATCTTATATAAAGTCTTTCGCGCGAGATTCTCTTACTAGTATAAATCTAAAGATCTTTCGAAGCTATATTAATATATATATAAATAACGCTATCGCTATTATAAGATATAATTAATATAAACTAAATAATATATTATAGAGAAATCTATATCGAAGTTATTTAATATTGATTAAAGCTCTTAACGTCTATAACTCGATTCGATTTAATTTAATTTAAGAGCCTTTAATTAATTACATCGTATTATTTTACTAATATTTTATTCGCTTAAATATAAATTCGAAAATTACTACTATTTATCTCTACGCTTATAAATATTATTTTTATTATACTATATTAATTTCCTCTTAACTAATGTTATGAGATGTCTCTGGGATACTCATAGGGCCACTAGCGTAGGCTTGGCACCGCATATATCTATCTGCAGATCACATAGATTAATCAATATCTTTTACAACACACACATATATGAGTCAAACCATAATGATTCCTTAACAATTGGTAGCAACACCTGAAGATCTATATCCATAGACCAACAGGCGTCACATCAGACGTTTACGCAAAGCCTGCATCAACACCTAATAGTGCAACGCTCCAAGCCGGACCTCCAACACACTCGCTATCATCGAGTACCTTTTGACACCGTCCCATCGATCCTTTCACTAGGCCTGTCGATATCACAATGCAAGCATTCCTGCAGACCCTACATGAGCAGTACCGCACCGAGTACTACGGCCCATAGTATACAAGAGAATGCTACCTATAGAAGTACGACGTTAAGGCTTAAGAGTATATTTAATTGGCTAGCAAATCAGACCCTCAATTCTTCCTACCGCAAGCCAAAATCCTTCAAGACCGAGCGGCCTACATACGTCAAGAATGGGCGAGACAAGAGGCCTTACAAGCCAAGCAGACAGCCACTCAGCCAGAGCACTCAGTCAAGCAAGAGGAGGAGCAATGCAGTACGGAGAATATCGCGGAGACAGTCAGCAACAGCAGTGACACAACAGGTCTACTCTCCACGGTCTCACATCAATCCACTCAGCCAGTGCAAGAGGAGGAACTACAACAGGCGAATGCGGAGAACACTGCGGAGAATACTGCGGAGAAACCAAGCGACAACAAGGCCACCATCAGCAAGAACACGGCTCAGCTCTCCACAATCCCACGTCATATACTCTCCACGATTCTACGTCAAATCACCACTCAGCAGGCGGAGAACGACACTACAATTTGGCCTACTATCTCTGCGTGCCTTAACAATATCACATTGATATAGTATATCACTGGAATGACGTTATAAGAGGAGGATCTACTGCGACGATCACAGTCAATTAGGCCTCTATAGGAGGAACATCGGACGATGCATATTTGGACGAATTGAAACCGTCCGATATCTTGCTCCGACAGTCATTTCATCATTCAAAAGTTTTCATTCCAGCAGGAGATTTCGTGGGATGCACACCACTAATTAGCCCGGTGTCTCCATTCCTTTCCAGCATTTCGAAAACTCACTCATTCATGCATGCATACTTCTTGCCATGAGGACATGGCATTTCTCTGTTTTTTGTGGGCAATTGTCATGAGATGCCTCAGGGATACTCATAGGGCCACTAGCGTAGGCTTGGCACCGCACATATCTGCCTGCAGACCACATAGATTAATCAACATCTTTTACAACACACACATATATGAGTCACACCATAATGATTCCTTAACAACTAAGCTCTCTATATATATTTATATCTCGATTAATAATATTATTATAGCGTAAATATAACGAGCTACTATTATCTTTAATATCTCTTATAAAGAAAGATATAATACTAAGATTCTCGAATATAATTATTTCTTTATTTCTTTTATTATTTTTCAGATATTAGATATATATATATATTTATTTTTCTATCTTTTTACTTATTAATTATAAGATATAATTTTATAAAGAGAGAGAAATAGTATTATAAGCGTATTCTATATTAGTATATATAATAGAATAAGATAGAGCTAAACTAGAAAATCTTAAATTTATATATATAGTTAATTATAAATTCGAGGTTATTACGCCTTTTAGATAGACTATCTAAGTTAGCTCGCTAGCCCTTTCGAGTCTTCTTATTAAAAATTTATATATAGAAGTCTTATACTCTAAAATAACCACCTTTCTACGAATACTATTTCTTTATAATTTCGTAAATTATAGAGCTTAGTATACGCTTTCTAACGCTATAAAAATAATAAAGTTTAATCTACTATTAATAAATTAAATTAATATTTAAATATTATAGTTATATTAAACGCGTTCGAAATCGAATAATAATTCTTTCATCTATTTATATAATTATATTTCTTCTATAATTCTATTAATTTACTAATTAAGAGAAGAAGTAAGAGAAGAAACTATAATAGATAAATGCGGAGAATATTACGAAGAAATTAAGCGGTAATAAGACTTTTAATATTAAGAATACGACTTAGCTCTTTAAGATTTTACGTTATATTAATTATCTACTTAGTTAATTACTTAGCTAGTTATTTAATTTAATACTCTATAAAAGAAGAAGTAAGAGAAGAAATTATAATAGGTAAATACGGAGAATATTACGGAGAAACTAAGCGATAATAAGATTTTTAATACTAAGAATACGACTTAGCTCTTTAAAATTCTACGTTATATACTCTCTACGATTTTATATTAAATTATTACTTAATAAGCGAAGAATATTATTATAACTTAATCTATTATTCTTACTATATTAAGAAATAAGAGAAGAAATTATAATAGATAAATATAAAGAATACTACGGAGAATATTATAAAGAATACTGCGGAGAAACTAAGCGATAATAAGATTATTATTATTAAGAATACGGCTTAGCTCTCTAAGATCCCACGTTATATACTCTTTATAATTTTATATTAAATTATTATTTAGTAAGCGAAGAATATTATTATAACTTAGTTTATTATCTCTATTATATTAATATAATACGAGTAAAGACCTATAAATTAAATTCATAATCATTTTTTTGATTAGGGCTGTCGAGTAAATTTGATAAGCGGTCTTTACTTTTAGTAAGCGATCTTTAATAAACGATATTTGAATTCCTTACCTTTGAAGAACTATAAGACCAAATTTTAAAATTCTTTTTTTATTTGAAAGCCTATATTACGTTCTATAATTTCAAAAGAGAAATCTTAAAATTTTAATAGAAAATAAAAAAGTTATTCTAAAATCAAATAATGTACATCTGTTTCTTAATCAGGGCTGTCGCGCGAACTTTAATAAGCGATATTTTTTTGATAATTGCGGACGCTAATTTATTTATTCGCGATAACTTAGTCGATCTAATTAAAGAGCGTAATAACTCTAAATTAATAATTAGCTATATATATAAATTTAAGATTTTTAAGCTTAGTTCTATCTTATTCTTTTATATATATTAATATTACTATAATAACGTTATAAGAGAAGAATCTACTACGACGATTATAGTTAATTAAGTCTCTATAGAAGAAATATAAAACGATATATATTTAAATAAATTAAAACTATTCGATATCTATAGCTATTTTATTATTTAAAAGATTTTACTATAATAGAAGATATTATAAGATTTACACCACTAATTAATATATTATCTCTATTTCTTTTCGATATTTCGATACTTCTTACTATAAGAATATAACCTTTCTCTATTTTTTATAGATAATTATTATAGATTAATTCTTTATACTCGATATCTTCCTAATTAGATCTTAGCGCGCCTCTCTCTATATATATATATCTATATATAATATAGATTAAATTAATTTTATAGTAGTAGAAGTAGATTAAAAACGTATAGTAAGCGATTAGAGTTCGATTTAATTTAGAACTAGAGCTAAAATTCGATTTAACTTAAAAAAATTCAACTTTATAAATTTAATTTATAGGCCTTTACTTATTCTTAATATATTACTTAATTCTCTTATCTATTTAAATCTAGCGTATCTTAATACAGATTTTATCTACTATTTAATATCTCTCTTTTATCTATATAATTCGATATCTTAATTATCTTATTTAATATATTTATATTAATATTATATCTATATTAATTCTAATAAATAATATATATTACGATATAGTATATCTATAATATTATATTATAAAATAATATATATATAAGATATCTAAATTAAAATTTCTATATTTAGAAGTATAAGTAACTATTCTAATTATTATTCTAGTTAACGACTATCTCTATTCGATAAATTTAATATAATAATTATTACTATTATAATTATTTCTATTATAGCTACTATTATTATAGCTATTACTATTATAACTATTATCGAAATATAATCTTCGCGTATTTTAGTTATTATATTTTTTAATTATCTAATTTTATACTATATTTAAAATCTAGTCTCGAAGAGATTTAAAAAATTAATTCGTTCGTTTTATATATTATATATCTAATATTTTAATAGCTATTACTATTATAACTACTACTATTATAACTATTATTATTTATTATTAAAATAGTTTATTATTATATAATAATTATAATAGTAATAGTTATAAGTAAAGATCTATAAATTAAATTTATAATTATTTTTATAATTAGGGCTATCGAGTAAATAGATAAGCGCTCTTTAATGAGCGATCTTTGATAAGCGAACTTTGATGAGCGATATTTGAATTCCTTGCGCTTTAATAATTATAAGACTAAATTTAAGAATTCTTTTTTATTCTAAAAGCTCATATTTCGTTCTACAATTTAAAAAAAAATCTCAAAATTTTAATAGAAAATAAAAAAGTTATTCTAAAATTAAATAATGTATACCTATTTTTTAATTAGGGCTATCCGACTATATTTTTTTAATAGTTACGAACGCTAATTTATTTATTCGCGATAACTTAGTCGATCTAATTAAAGAGCGTAATAAATTTAAATTTATAATTAATTATATATATAAATTTAAGATTTTTAAGCTTAATTCTATTTTATTCTATTATATATATTAATAATAATAATATTTATAATAGTAATAGCTATTAAAATTTCAAATATATAATATATAGAACGAACGAATTAATTCTCTAAAATCTCTTCGAGATTAGATTTTAAATATAGTATAAAATTAGATAATTAAAAAATATAATAATTAAAATACGCGGAGATCGAAAATATAATAGCTGAAATACGCGAGAGCTATATTTTAATACTCTTCTATAGTTATACTTTTAGTTTACTTAATAAGAAATAAAGCTATATATAACTCTTATTAACGATAAAGACTATTTTAGTCTAAAATAATAATAAACTATTTTAGTCTTAATAATAAACTATTTTAGTCTTCGATAATAATAGACTATTTTAGTCTTTTAATAATAGATTATTTCAGCCTTTTAATAATAAACTATTCTAGTCTTTTATAGACTATTTTAGTCTTTTAATAAGAGATTATTTTAGTCTTTTAATAAGAGGCTATTTTAGTCTTTTAATAAGAGACTATTCTAGCCTTTTAATAAGAGGCTATTTTAGCTATAATAATAATAGATAATTTTAGTTATAATAATAATAGACTATTTTAGTCGTAATAATAGACTATTTTAATTTTAATATATATATTATTCTAGTATAATATATCTTCTTAACGTAATATCTCTTTCTAGAGTAATATAATATATCTCTAGAGTATAATAGTCTTTTTAAATAATAAGAGTAAATTATAATACTCTATCTCGAAGTAATATAGTTATTTTATATAGAACTTATATACTATACTAGTATATATCTTTATTATCTATAGTTCTTCGCGATATTTCTCTTTACTACTATTTTATTATTTAATAATAAGAATTCTTTATAATAACGAGAGTTTTTTACGATAATATAACGATATAATTATAACTCTATATTTAAATTAATCTTATAGAAAGCTAATATTATAGCGACTTAGTCTATATATTCTATAAATTAAGCTTATAATCTATTAGAATTTTAGATATATAATATATAGAACGAACGAATTAATTCTTTAAAATCTCTTCGAGATTAGATTTTAAATATAGTATAAAATTAGATAACTAGAAAATATAATAATTAGAATACGCGGAGATCGAAAATATAATAACTAAAATACGCGAGAGCTATATTTTAATAATAGCTATAATAGTAATAGTTATAATAGTAATAGTTATAATAATATTAATTATAATAGATAGCTATAATAATAATAACTATTATATCGAATTTATCGAATAAGAATAATCGTTAATTAGAATAA